TCAATGGGTTTTTTACCTGGTTAAATAAAGAGAAGTAATGATGATGGTGTTGTCATGTTTGGAGACACAGTCGGGGGTGTATAGGGTGAAGGGCTTGGGGCTGAGACAGACACCCTGCAGTGAGCCTGTGCTGATTTTGAGCTCAGCAGACACCCGTCCTCCCATTCTGACTACCTGTGGTCTTTCAGTAAGGAAGTCCAGAATCCAGTTACAAGTGGGAGTTGGTACACCAAGGTCTGTCATCTTCCCAATCAGCCTACCCGGGTTAATGGTGTTGAATGCAGAACTGTAATCCAGGAAAGCATCCTAGCATACGTACTGCTATTGTCCAGGTGTTTCAGGGTATGGGATAAAGCCAGAGCCGTCACATCATCCACTGATCTGTTGGGGTGGTAGGCAAACTGGAGGGGGTCTACAGTGTCCGGACCATGTGGTTAATGTGTGTGAGGACCAGTTTCTCTAAGCACTTCATGGCGACTGATGTGAGCGCCATTGGCCTGAAGTCATTCAGAGTGGATGTGTCTGATGTCTTAGGAACCGGTATGATAATGGACTTTTTGAAAATGTGAGGAAATACTGCTTGGGTTAAGGACAAGTTGAAGATGTTTGTATACACACTGGCTAGTTAATCCCCATACTCTCTCAACACTCTAGGGGGGACAACGTCTGGTCCTGCTGCCTTATGGGGGTTTACCAGTTTCAGGGCCTTCAGGACCTGTGTGTGCGTCACCTGAAAAGCAGTGTCCCCTGGGTCACAGGAGGATTTTGAGGAGGTGTCTGTGTTCATCCTTTCAAACCTCACATAGAAGTTGTTGAGGCTGTCCGGGAGGTTGGTGTCCTGGGGGGCTGTGTTTGTTGATTTGTTCCTGTTGTTTGTGACTGCCTGGATTCCCTGCCACATACTGCGTGTGTTGTTATTCATGTAGTAGCTCTCCAGTTTTTGGAAGTATGCTCTCTTTGCAGCTCTAATGGACCTCTGTAGCTCATACCGGGCTTTCCTGTACTCTGCTTGGTCCCCTGGTTTAAAAGCCTCTCATCTCTTCCTGAGTTTCTGTTTTATATCCCTATTAAACCATGGTTTTTGGTTGGGGAAAATGCACACCATTCTAGCTGGTGCGCATATGGATGTGCAACAGCTGATGTAGTCATTCACAATCTCTGCATATTCAAGGATGTCATCTGTGGCCCCTTTGAAGATGCTCCAGTCTGTGGCCTCTGGACAGTCCTGCAGGCTGGCCTGTGCACAGTCATTCCAGGTGTTAACAGTTCTCACTGAGACTGGTTTTGCCTTGAGTCGTTTAGTGTAAGCAGGTTTTAGCTGGATTGCTAGGTGGTCAGATCTACCAAAATGAGGCTTAGGTTCAACTGAGAAAGCGTTTCTAATGTTACTGTACCATTGGTTGGCATATTTTTGTAGTGGTTTTTCTGCCTTTATGGTCTTTTTGGTCTCATGCTTTTCCTGAGATTGCAGTGGTTAGTGGTTGCAAGTTCAGGATCCAGTCACAGAGGGTGGGGTGCAGACCCAGTGTGGACAGTTTGTGGGGGACAACTATGTTGAAGACAGAGCTATAGTCAATGAAGAGTATCCTGATTTAGGAGTCTCCATTTTCCAGGTGGGAAAGGGAATAGTGGAGGGCAGGCGCC